CGGCGCGCCTGCTGTGGCCCAGCTCGCGCGATGCCCGCCTGCTCCCTCCGAAATCTGAAGTTCTCCCTATGAGCGTATCTGGCATGATGACAACTTATGTATTTTGCAGAAAGAAACATGACTGAGACGGTTTCTTCTGCTCTTTCAAGTTGTTTTGCAATATTCAGTAAACAGATCTTTTGGGAGTCGCCTGCTCCCTCCGAAATCTGAAGTTCTCCCTATGAGCGTATCTGGCATGATGACAACTTATGTATTTTGCAGAAAGAAACATGACTGAGACGGTTTCTTCTGCTCTTTCAAGTTGTTTTGCAATATTCAGTAAACAGATCTTTTGGGAGTGTTTCAGTCCCAAAGGTGATTCCCGCACTTGTTGCACAGCGATGAAGAGACAAAACCCATCAAGTGATACCGGTTTTGAGCATTCATCTCCCATACAACGTTAGAGGAAATTAGCTCTCAGCGGCTTTTTAAAAGCCTTTCTGCACAACTGTTATCTGCACCTGCCCGGTGGCAGCAAACAAGGGCTCCTGCAGACAGCTGCCGGTCCGGGGCGATTTGCCGAACGCTTTCCTTCACAGAACAGGACTTTCAGTCCTCTCTCTTCATTGGAAATTGTTTTAAAATCCCATAAAAATAACATAAAATAAATCACAGCCAGATGAAAGGAGGGTCGAGCTTGCAAGGACCCTGTAAAGAAGCACTAGTTATACAAATTATCTAGCTGACATGACAGAAACTGTTTCGACGTTTTATAAACTATTCTGCTGATAATTTTACATCTAAGCGTGGCGCGACTGCGCGAGGCAGAGCGGGGCGAAACGCAAGAGCTGGAAGCCGAAGGTCTGAGCTCTGTTCCCAGCTCATGGTTTTGGCCACCACCGAAGCGTTCAGCTGCGCCTTGCTGCAGCTGGGAGTAGCCCCCGCTCTCGGCGGGGAGAGAGGAAGGGGCTGTCCCCCCCCTTGGCGAGACCCCCCGGGACGGGCAGCTCTTCCCCCCTCGCCGGTGCGGGAGCGACGTCTCGGCACGTGGTGGAAACTCGTTTAGCAGCTTCTCCTTATCGCTCCGTGTCCAACCAGCGCTGAACTGGCCCTGCCCAAAATGTGCAGCTCTAACAGCAACCACAACAGATTCCTGTGCTTAATTTGAGGTCACTGACTTAGCCTTAACTTTGAATGTTTATCTGCATTGTGGTCTACGAACGTCCTAGATTAGCGTGAACGTTGCAACGCTGGAGCGCAGAAAGGCTGCAGCTCTGCTCTGAGGAGCCAGCAAGAAGCAAACTATCTTCGCGATACTTAAACAAAGATCTATGAAGTATTTGCCCACGTCTGAACAACACGCAAAAACATGCATTGTCCTTTCTTCTGCTCAGTGAAAAAAATCCGAAATTTAGACAAATGATCGAAGATATCGCCTCTAGGAGCCGACGTAAACCTGAAGTCGTGGCCGTCTCTGCTGCCGTTGACAGTGCCGTGGCCACCGCTCTCCTGAGCAGTGACGCTAGCTCCCTTGCCCTGGCCGGGGTGCAGGTGCCTGCAGACCCCCCGCAGCCCCTGCAGACCCCGCGCGGCCCTGCCCGGCCCGCAGGCGGGCGCCCCCCTTTCCTCAGCCTGAAGGTGCTCGTAAGGCGCGGCAGCTTCTTGTTGGCCTTGCTCGTGATAAAGCAGGTAACACCTCATTTCTTGCAATACGCCGCTTCCCT